CTTTCTAGTCCCATATCATAGGGGAATTTTAATAATTGTTTTTATATAGTGTAAAACATAGGTTACTAGCAACAAATCAACTTGGATGAAGTGGCAGTTGTATATTCTTATTAAATTTGCTCGCATATATTCCTTTAAATAAATATTAAAAATTAAAAAAATAATTAAATAAAAATATATTAGTAAAAAATTTAATAAAATAAAATATAATAGTTGTAGAACCTACCGGTTCAACGGTTTTCCAGTCAAACCAACAATTCAAACAACTTAGCATTGCAAATCCAGTTTTCAAGGTTGACTTAACCAACAACTTGATTGATTCACAATGGAATAAGTCGAACTGGTCAATTCAGTCTGATTTTCAAAACATTGATTTTATCTTCTTTATTTGTCGTTTTCCCATCATTTCTATCATCTTTAATGTCATGGAGTTCCAAATGTCTATTCCTTCAAGATTTAAACCAATGCAACGGAATTCTCTTTCCTTTGTAAACATTTTCAAAAAAAAAAAAATTACCAAAAATCTATTATCTTGTCTTTTTAGCTCCTCTAAACGCCTAATCATCATTTAACAACCCAAATTTTTTACTCTTTCCATTACAACTCATCCAATACTTAACATTGTTAGGCCTTAACTCCATCTTAAAAAATAAAAAATAAAAAAATAAAAAAAAAGTCCCATACATCAACCCATAAGATCCACTCTTTAAACAAAATCTCCTTTTTACACCTCTAGACCAACTTTGGGAGCAAACTTTCAGTACGTAGACTCTAAACATTATCTAATAGCATCATTTCCATTCCCTTGCAATAAAAAAAAAAAATTCCATTCCAACCAAAAGTACACCAACGACGACATCATTTGGTATTAAAGCTCAGCCTTGAAGAAAAAGTAAGGAGCATGGATAAATTACAATTTCAAGTGATCTCAAGGTCGAATAAGTGATAGTCAAATGTTTAAGGAAAATGTTGAATAGACTGGGAATTTGAAATTTCTAGTGAATTAATCATCTTTAATTGCTCAACTTGTTGTAAACTCAGTTCATAATGATTGGCAAGCTATGATGCACCGACACTTCTCCTCAAAGAGGCGTGCAGTGTCCGACACCGTGTCCGCGCCGTACCCGTGTCCTATATTTAAAAAAAAAAACCGTGTCCTGTGTCCGTGTCGTGTCGTGTCCGTGTCGCCGTGTCCGTGTCCGTGCATCATAGTTGGCAAGGCTTGTTTAATCCAGCATAAGCGACATTAGGTATACAACATAATGCAATATAATTCATTGGTTCTGATCACAGTTTAAATAATTGTTGTAAAATGAATAAGTCTATGTTTCTTGTAAATTTCTAAATACATAGAGAACTCATGGTAAATTACAAATTCAAGTGATCTCATGGCTGAGTAAGAGATATATCAAATGTTGAATAGATTGGGCAACTTGAATTCTCGAGAATTAACCATCATTAACTGGTCAAGTTGTTTCATACTCAATCTATAATTAGCAAGACTGATCTATTTCAGCCGAAAAGCAATTTGGCATAGATAATGCAATATAGTTCATTGGTTTTTGCAATGTTTTATACTATTTTTGTTTTTTCTGTATATATATATATATATATAGTATTGATGTAATAACTAAATGAAAAATATTTAGCAATCATCTAATATTTGCTATATATGCAAGTTAAAATTAAGTAAACCAAGAAAACAAGTCAGTCAAAACCTCCACCACATTATTTCCACCTCACCCAATTAAGTGTTGGTTGGCCCCTGCTCCTTAAAGTTTCTATATTGCTGATGGTCAAACTCCCGTGATGCATGAATGAAGTGTTAAGATGTGTCTATTGAAGTTTCAAAGAGATACATGCACATCGAAGAGCTTAGTGCTCCTTCTTTGACATGTAACTAACAATCAAACCTTGCTATCCCCCTTATAATTTTCATTTTATCTTATATAATGCTTCTACATATTGTTGAATGACATTCTAAGAAAGATATTAATGATTAATTGAATAGAAAAAGAACTTCCACTTTTTGATATTGGTTTGGTAGCTACTTCGTTAAGGTTGGCTTGGTGGCTTGACTCTTTCCCTTCCTTTGATAAGGTTGGGTTTATCTATTATTATTACTATTTTATATTATCTCATTTACTCATCCTTTTCATATTCTTTAGTGTTATCATGTTTCCCCCACTTAAAATCATTTTAACCCGTGCAAAGAAATTATCATTCTTTGTAAGGGTTATTTGGTTTGAATTAAAAAGAGTATAAAATATTTCATATGCAAGAGTTTTGAAAATATTCTTGTTTGGTTTAAAGCACAATAAACGCAGGGCAAAAGTTAAATTAATTCTAAACTCACCCCTATTGGTCATTAACCGAGTTTCAAACACACCGCAGGCAGGCACTATAGCCGCCTAGCCCCACCGCTCGTTGCCACCCACCATCCACCTGGTGTCATTCGTCGGCTGCCAACGACCCTCTGATCTGCTACAATCTGCCACCGCCTTTGCTACCACTAGTTACATAACCGACCACCCGGTGAGCTTTAAATTGCATTCATTTGACTTTAAACCAAACAAAAAAATAATAAACTCTTATATTTTTAGACGTAACCAAAAGAAACTCAAACATTTCAACTATTTATTCAATTTACCTTGCATTCCTTTTTTAGAAGACCAAAATATGTCCCCCTTGTCATTCCACCAACTCTACACACTTCATTTCCACCATCTCACTACATCTTAAACTCAATATAAAGGAGCCCTCACTTCATCTTAAGTCCCATACATCAACCCATGAGCTCCATTCTTTCAATGAAATCATCCCTTTACACCACTTGATTAATAGAAGTTGAACTTTCTGATGCCCTTGAACTCCACACAACATCTAGTAGCCTACTTTCAATTACATACGCCATAAAAAACTATCCAACCCAATATCCTCACCAAAAGTTCACTCATCACTAAATCAATTGGTATTAGAGGTTCTAGTAGAGCACCACCTTGGAGAAAGCAGGGAGCAACAAACACAAGGAAAAAATCTTTATTTAACAAGTGGTGATTTTGTTATCACTTGTAGGTAATCTTTTTCTATTCCCTTGCTTTTGAATTTTGAATGGTAAATTATTGCTAGCAATAGTTCATGTTATTTGTTAAACTTATCAATCAACTTGTTTCAACCTCTTATTCACATTACCTACACCATAAAAAACTCAACATAATCGAGTCCTCACTCCATCCTTGGTCCCATCAACCTATAAACTCAACTATTTCAACTAAATCACCAAATACCTGTCACCCTTTTACACCCTTGGCCAACAAATAAAAGTGGGACTCCCCTAAGCCTTTTGAACTTCAAATCACATTCAATAGCTTCCTTTTCATTCTCCTATAAAAAAATAGCCATACCAATATCTCCACTGAAAGTCCACACCACTAGATCACTTTATTCCATTACTCTCTTCCATTATTATTATATGGCTCAAAATTTTAATTCATATATAATTAGCATAATCTTGAGCATTCCATTGTTCTTAATGCCTAAACTTTTTAAAGGAGCTCTTTTTATAATCCTTTTAATAAAAGGCACATCTATAAACCTAAATTAGCAAAAGGTGTGCATATCACCTAACATTAGGATATCTAACCACCAATAAAATTAAAGATTTCTATTTTTATTTTATATCTTGGACAATTTAAGGTTGATCACATAGACATGTCATCTTGAAATTAGTAGAAATATCGACATATCCACACAATAGCCAAACTAGAATGGATAAATGATAGAATCAAAAGTGTTTTAATGGAATCGCACAACATTCATGCGATTATCTTCAAAAGCTGGTTCACCTCATTGGTTCGATTTGATTTGAGAATACAAATCCATAACAACCATAGGTATTCAAGTTATTCGGCATATGCCCAACTAGCACCACTAAAATCGAAGCACATTCATGTGAATTAAAGGCACAAAAACATAAAAATTGGATAATTTATTTATTAACACTAAAATTTATGATGTGTCTATCTCAAACAAGTATTGTTGCAACTAAAAATATTTTTGTGTGACTTAAATGCCAAACTAAGAGTGTAACTATATCAAGTCAACTCATGAGTTAGCTTGAGCTCAACAAAATAAGACAAGCAAATGAGCCAAATTTGAATCAACCATAACTCGACTTGTTGACTCGGAACTAACTCATTTAAAAAATATTAATATAAAATACAATTAAAATATTAAAATTTAAGAGTTTAAATAAATAGTTAGTAAAATATTCTAAAAAATAATAATTCTCTTACTTGTATCAACTAATTTCTCAATATTTCTCTGGTTGTTTATCAATTTTATCTTTTTTTTAGCTTTAACTGCACTAATCAGTGTTAATTTCTCTCTCTAATAATAAGCAAGCCCACTCGTTAGCCAGCACAAACTTATAAAACTGAGCTCCATATCAAACTCAATTAACTAGCCAAGCTCAAGTCAAAAGTCAGGGTTGGTTCGAACTCGACTCAACTCATTTGCAACCCTTTTAACAATTATTAGTTGTGAATATTATGATCATCTACACTAATCTTGAATATAAGCTTGTTTGAACAAATAAATTATAACATATAATCATCTATATTCATTAAAAGAAATATAAGATCTACACAAATTGTTGGCCTAAATGATTGGCCTAGCAAACAACAAATAAAAAAATTTTATAAAAAATATCAAGTTTGAGAATTGATCCTTTAATTGGAAAAACTAGAAAACAAGGGGGGGATTTTGGTGATGCCATTTGAAGAAGCGATTCAACTCCTAAAACCCCTACAATTGAAGTTTATAGAAACTCCTTTGTAGGATTAGGAAATAAGCTCCTTTTAAAAATTTAGCGTTCTTGAACAATAATTTCTCAGGAGTTGACATGCGTAGAGCTTAATAATGAAAGTTTTAGTGTGGAGAAAAGGAGAGAGGGTGCAAGGGAGCAATAGAAAGAGAGAGGCATTGTACATGGCTCATACCTGATACCATCAAACTGGTTGGAGCAGGAGTTGGATGAGCGGTTGGAGAAATGTCCTTGCCAAAATAAGGCTGCCCCGGAACTGAAAGGAAAACAAATCAAGACTTGAGCAAATCATTTGAGAAGAAAATAAGAGGCAAAATATAAGTAAACTAGGTCAAGAAGCAATAAAACAAAACTCACGGGCATCAATACATAATCAAGAAACAAGAGGGAAGAATTTTAATACAGTAAAGTTTCTGTCTGCAGATGGAAAAAAGCATGAAGCGGAATTTCAGCATACAGATTATTTATGTTTTCTTCCTACATCACAGATGTCGTGAAATAACTTGGTTCTAAAAGTAACATGTCAGCAAAAATAATGGACCTAAATCGGCTTTTTATTTCCAAAAGCACCCAAACTGAAGCAATCAACCATCTCATGAATGGGACATAAACATTGCAGCTTCACTACCGGCAAAGTCTTCATCATACAGCACGAGGCTTTTCCTATAATTCAAGGCACGCCATATCACTCTTAAAAATTTCAGGGAAACACCGGATATAAGATAGTAAAATTTGTTATTTATTTCCCTAAATTTACTTTTTATGAGGAATACTATGACAGTGCAGACTTTCTCAAGAATTTGGACAAATAGGAGGAATGAAACTAGCTCATCAGCCAATATCCAAGATTGGCTTGGCACGCGTCATATCCCCAATAACAAGTTGAGAAAAAGAAGGTCAAACCTGAATTAAGAGGAATATAATAAACACCACCGACGACTCCGCCATTAGGACCGTCCATCTCATTTACCGTCTCGATGTCATCCATGCTAACCCCAAACCTACTCGAGAGCGTCTCAATCGAATCCCCCACCTCCATCACATAGCTCATCAAGTAGTTCCACAGCCCGCTCGAGCACCCACAAAAGAGGTGCAGTGAGATCACTGCCCCCATACGCGCCCTCCTCGTCGAATTAGGAAGTACAGCGAGCCCGTCGTAGGCTCTGGCGACCGCCGCGCTCACTAACCCCTCTCGCCCTCTCATGGTAAATGTGGTGTTGGCGAGATACTTCTTGTCGTAAAGGCAGGAGCAGTTCTTCCGGATGAAAAGGTAGTCAGGACTACTGCTCTCGTCTGAGGTTACATCTTCGGGGAAAACGTCGAACATGCTCTGCACCAGAGGAAGGGTTACGTTGGGGGCGGCTTTGAAAGCGAGAAAAGAGGTGCAGATCCGAGCGGTGTCGGAGCAATTGAGTGGTGGAGAGGTTGAGTGGCAATGGAAGAAGTTTGCGAGGAGGAAAACGAAGGCTAGAAGACCGATTTGGAGGATCTCAGACATTGAAAAAAAAAACGCGCTAATCAAAAGAGTGATGAACGCGAATCTTAAACTGTGGAGAGCGAAGTGGATCGATCCAGATGTTTTCGTTGGCGAGGAGCATTGGGGAACCCCGGCCTAGGAAAAAAGTGATCACAGATCACAGTGTGAGTTCTACCGCCGAAGAAGAGAGATTGCGTCAGCTCCAGTGAGAATTGAGACTAGAGAAGTGTAATGAAGGTGGAATTTGGTAATGATGGATCAATTGGATTGGGGAGCCAGTGGGTGGAAGACGGACAGAAGAAGAACGTGTTGGAAGTGGACCCCTAAAGCGTTCCTATGGACGTTACAAAGCCCACACTGGCCATGCCTTTCTTTCACTCTACGGAAGAGTACTTATTGTTGTTCGGTATAAGAACAACTAGGAAAAAACACTTGGGGGGGGGGAAATTTTGCGGCTTAGCTCATATCATTAAAGAAAAAGATGAATATAATTTTATGAAAGAAAAAAAATAATTCTATAGAAGTTAAAAGTATGAGTTGAGCTTTGACCGAAAGAAATCTCAAGTAATAGGCATGACTAAAAAAAAATAGACTCTAAAAACAATCAAAATGGGTCTTAAAGAATAATGAAAGCCATAAGCTCAGGTTAAGGTAAACCAACTAAGATGAAAATCACAACATCAAAAATCAGCAAAACAAACAACAGATAAAAAAGCTCAAAAAAACTTGGTTGCCATAGGGGCCTTTTGTGAAGTTGACCCGTTGTCATAAGGGTCATCCAAAGAGCTAGCAAAAGTTGGTGCCACTCATCATGATCCATGAAAAGTCTAAAAATGAGGCAAAACAAAAGCCCCACAGAAACACAAAAATCTCCAAATGAATCCCACACAGATAGCTTAGGAACAATTAGGACATGCATCTTTAATCCTGTCTAAATTTTTCCGCTTTGCTACTCTAAGAAAGATGGTTTTTTTAATATTACTGCAAACAACCATTTCTAAAGTAGCAGACAACCATTTCCAAAGTTTAGACTCCTCTTAGGAGGTTTCAAGGGAGAAACATATTTGGTTCTAAACCCGAAAGCAAGAGGAGACTCCATAGAAAGAAACCTCCAAATCTGATTAAACCCACAAACCTGTTATAATGAGTGAATATTCTGAATGCCCAAACCACCACATGTCTAGGGACGACAAGTTTTGCTCCAGGAAATCAGATGCAGCTTTCGTTCGTTAACATTACCATGAAACATAAATCTGGAGCATAACCTATTAATTGTCTTATAGCATGACTTTGGAATAATAGAACCTCTAATCCAATAGGCATAAGTGTTAGCAATAGTGACTTTAAGGAAATGAATTCTCCCTACAAAAGACAAAAAATTGACTGTCCAACCATCAAGTAGAGTAAAAAATTTTGCTCAGTAGTGATTGGAAGTTAACAAAAGTGAGCCTTTTAGTGGATATAGGTAATCCCAAATATTCAATAGTATATCTAGCTAGATAAAAGCTGAGAATATAAGAGATATTAGCCACCATAAAGGAGTAAGGTGAGAAGAGAATAGGGCATTTGGTCTGATTGATAGAGCTCAAAAGCCTCAACAAAATGTTGAAGAATATTATTAAGAGCATGGGCATTCTGATAAGAGGCAAACCCAAAAATAAAAAGATCATCCACATAGGTCTGTTAACTTCCTTCAAATGGTGATTGAGGGTGGGGTCAAGGGGGTTCTACAGCAACTCCAAAAGAAAACCATTTTGCTGGATAGTTAAACTTTTAGTAGAATCGGATAAAAAGGAAGAGGGAGCCCATACCTTTGCTTTCAAAAAGCCTTTAAAGTTATGAAGTTTGGAATAAAGACAGGAATTCGAGCTAATATGAGAGGGGGTAGCAAAGGCAAAGTTTACAACCTCCTAGAAACCATTTATATTTGCCCAATAATTCATATAAAGAAATCTACAATTTCTAGAAATATTACAGCTAGACAACATGACAAAGGGGGAGTGGATAAAATATTTTTCTTGAGGGGGAGGGGGGGTTCCAATTTTATAATAAGAAGAGGGAAAAGATTAAAGCTAGGTAGAGTTAATTATGACCTTTCCAACTTTAAACAAATGAGATTGTCGGTCATTTGGTTGAAGCAAGAATTAAATAGCCCCATAGAAGCAAGATCTTGAGCTCCAATATTGAAGATGAGATTGTTAAGCTCACCAAGCCTACTAAAGGGAATAGTATTGCCACCAAATTTTTTAGAGGCAAATATACAACAATTGAAGTCACCCATAATGATCCAAGGAGATATAATAGTTTATGCTAAATTTAAAATATGTTTCCAGAGAGATCTCTTCTCATCAAGAGAATTATAAGCATAAATAACCTAAGAAGAATCGGAGGGGAAGAGCCATACAAGGTTTTCCCATGAATTAGCTGGGAGGAGAAGAGGGAGGGAGAGAAGGTGTTGCAAGAGGAGTCCCATTTCAGACAAATCCAGGGGAAGGAACTAAAATTATCACAACAAGCTTCATTTTACAATATTTTGTGAGATTTAATGAACCAAATGTCCAGAACTAAAAATCTATGGATTTTGGCTTCAAGGATGAATAACATCTTAATCTTATGTTATTCGATAAGCTCTTGAGAAGTAGCAATATTATCAGGGCTATTATAACCCTAACATTCCAATAGCCTATTGAGGGGAGATTCATTGGCATTTGAAGGTTAAGGGTTTTGCCTTTTTAGCAAATTTGGATTTTCAAAGTTTTGGGGTGGGGGTGTTTATTCTAAGAAGGAGCCTTAGTCGAAAGAAGGGGTTAAACCTAAATAGAGTCTGGGGGAAGTTCATTAGTTTGTAATATAACAAACTTTTTTTTTTTTTTTTTGAAAGATGCAAACACTACAGGAAAAATGCCGATTACCGACGGTTCTAACCAGCGGTTTATAGACCGCCGGTTTTAACTGCGGTTTAGCCGGCGGTTTTACTGCCGGCTTTTACCGGCAGCCTAACCGGTGGGTTTGTTACGTTAAACTGCCGGTACTAGCGACGGTCCATAAATCGCCGGCAAACCGCCGAACTTCAATATTGCCTGGCGGCTTGGACCGTCGTTGGTAAGTTATTATGGTACCGGTGGTCCTGACCGCCGGAATACCGCCGGTAAATGCCCTAAAATGAATAGACCCGCACCTCGCATTTCATTTCTATTCTTTCCTTCTCTCTCTCTCTCATTTCGGTCGCAAAGCCGCCGGTAGATTTCAAAACTACCGGTTTTTTCACCCAAACGGTCGGAAAAAACAGCCGGGTTTGGGTGATTTTCCTGTAGTGAAAGATGCATTAAAAATAACAGCAAGGATACAAACTAATGTGAGTTAGCTATACTATCACATTCTTCTTTTACAAGATCCATAAAAGAAGATGGAAGATAGCTTTCACCAAAAAAGTCCCAAACAAAATCATAAGAACAAGCTAAGTTAGCACAATAATCGGCTAACTTATTACAATTATGATTAACCCAATGAAAGAACACATTATTAAACTCACCAAGAAAAGAGAAATCTTCTTCATTCGAGATCCAACCCTTCCTCTTCGGTTTTCTGTACAAATTCTGAAGAAAAAGGATAACATTCTTATTATCACCTTCTAATATAATGCCTTTGACATCTAGTAATCTACCGTGCATCACTTCCTTCAAGTGGAGCAATGTCCCAATGTACCTTACCTTTACCAAAGGCCAAGATAAATCTTCCTTTACAATCCCTTATTGCACCACCAATGCCAGCTATATAGTTATTTTTTAGTGAAGCATCAAAATTTATTTTGATCCACTCGGGTGGAGGAGGTTGCCATTTGTTTGAACACAGTCCAAGGGACTGATTAGCAACCCAGTGATTCGAAAGTGGTGCGCTGATTTTAGCAGATCCCAGAAAAGCTAGAGTAGAAGCAGCAATCATGATGTTACTGTCACTTGATTTTCCATGCTTAATCTTGCTTCTATTGTTCCAGATAAACTAAAGCATTGTGAGATAAATCCTAACTAACATAATATTTGTCTTCTTTAATTCCCTGAGACCAATTAAGCAATCTTCCCAATTCTAAAAATTAGGAATTTGGAATCCCCAGCTCCTTAGCACTTTAATAATCTTCAAAAGTTTAGAGCAATTGGAAGAAACATGATCCACATCTTCATTTTCATCACAACCCCATGGACACAAGCAAGAACCCGATAATCTCCTTTTGAATAGAAAGAATTCTGTTGGAATGGCATCTTTGTTGAGCCTCCAAATAAAGAGTTCTACACGGGCATTAAGTTTAAGTTTAAATAACCAAGAAGCTAACTCATCATCCCGATAGCCTTTGAAAAAGTCCTCCATAATAAGTGCAACAATTGATTTCCCTGTCAATTTCAGCTTCATCTCCATACAATCATGTTGAGAGTTTTGTGTAAATTGAATATTGCAAAAAAGCTGCAACAACTCTTCACCAAAGTGCAACCTCAACTTATCAACATCCCAACTTCCCTCATTAATGAAGTAGTCAAGTGTTAAATTCTCATCAACCAAAGTTCCAACAAACGTCGGCCATTTATTTAAACTCAAGTCCAAGATCCAAGTGTCTTTTAACACATTAATCTTGGAACCATCACACACCTTCCATATGACAAGATTTGAAAGAGCTTTCCACCCCTGATGAATAATATTCCAAGAAGTAGAAGATTTGCTCATGTAGTTCACATTGCTGATCCAATTATCTCCATACTTTCTAAGAAAATTTCTAGATAGCAGAGAATCTGGGTTCTCAATAATCCTCCAAGCAAACTTTGCTCTCAATGAGTCTCTTCTAGCAATTGCCGAATTCAGTCCCCAGCCACCGAACTGCTTTGGTTTACAAATGGAATCCCAAGCTACATAGTGGATCCCATGATTACCATCACTTCTATTCCAAATGAAGTCTCTACACAATTTCTCAAAATCTTTCAAAAATTTCAAAGGAACAAGAGAATAAGACATAAGAAAAACTGGAAGAGAAAGGTACACTGTTTTTATCAAAACCAGTCTACCAGCAAGAGAGATGTATCTGTTACCCCAAGCATTAAGCTTCTTGATAGATTTGTCCAGTAAATGTTGGAAATCTGAATACTTTAGTCTTCTCAATGCCATCTTGATTCCCAAGCATTCAAATTCCTTCACCACTTTGATTCCTAGTAATTTAGAGAACATTTTACTTCTTCTCCTTATAACCAAACTGCTGCACATCAAAGATGATTTCAGAAAATTGATATTCTGATCGGTCCAAGAGCAGTATTTTTAAAAAATATATTTAACCTTCTTCACATTATTTGTCTTTCCTTCCAAAAATACCAAGATGTCATCAGCAAATAGGAGATGAGAAA